ATATATATATATATATATTCACCGACCCCGTAATTTGTATTTAATATAGGTAGCTTACCTGTTACTTTGCAGTTAGCAGCAACCTCTACCCAACATTTATCCAAGACATATCTGTTGTGATGCGATTTATGTCGCTGATCCCATATTGGAGTTTTTTTGTAAATTTCACTAATAGATCTTTATCCATAACTAAAAAATAACTTTCTCTACAAATGCCGTCAATGCCTTATTAGATACCAGTCAAGCAGGTGTTACTCAAGACACCATCGACGAGCTCGAGGAAGACTTTTGTGAACCAAGAACGCCAGAAGAGGATGTCGATCCAAGAATCTAATATTTTATATTACATTATAACGTTTCTTTAAAATAAAGTTTTAAATTTTTTCACGTTGTAAAACTCGCCTAATCCCAACTTGTCAAATCCAAAGTGACAGCAATACTTGTCTTATCCAAATTATTATTGCTTTTTAAAACTACGAGTACTATGGTGGTTTTTACTTTAATATAAATACAAAACATCCTACCTTTCATTTTAATCCTATAGGTATTAATTTGTCAGAATAAAAACCAAAAAAATAATTGGCATAAAGGTTTATAGCTTGTTGTGCACAATTACCCAAAATAGATTTAACAAGATTTGCTTTGATAGGTCTTATTTAGATTAGATACACAAAATTTTATATCACTACGAAAATAACCAAAACACTTTTAAAATAGCGGTTCTTAAATTATTGGAATCAAAACAAATATGTAAAACCAGTAACGACACTTTCCTGCAGAGATTGGGAGGAAACTCAAAAATAAGATGAACAGTGGTAAAGATGAGGTACCCACAAAAATTATTAAAAAAAATGTATTGATCATATTGTAAATCCTCTCGTGCGTATAATAAATAATTTTTCAATTTGAAGTGTTGCCTGATCAATTAAAAATAGCCTGCACAGTTCCTGTTTTTAAAAAAGGGGATCCAAAACAATATGGAGACAAATTAGTCTTTTAAATTCTTCTTCAAACATTTTTGAGTCAGCAATGTGTAAAAGGATATTAGAAGGGGCGATTTTCCAGTTTGTTCAGCATGTCCTAGATGATGATAGGTTGGCTATTGACCTATTTTTGGACTTGCCCAAAGGCTATGACTGTCTGGACCATGGGGGTTTACAATGACAGAATGTAGATTATGTTAAATATGAAAAGCAATTCTGTAAATTCATGAAAAATTTTAACTTTTCCTAATTAACATAGTAGTTCATTTGTGCCGCAAAAATCTATAAGCAGAAATATGTTAAAAATTTAACATAATGTGTTAATTTTATGCGTTAAAACGAAGATATTAACAGGTACTAATTAGTAGGCTTTAAAACTTAACGTATGAGAAATTATGACTTTTTATTGTTTAATTCAACTTATAATGCAAGAAGATCATGAAAATAAACCATTTTGAAAGTACTCAAGTAATTTTAACAGTAGAAATTAGACAAATTTTATTTAGAAATTATATTTTTTATAGTGTATATAAACTTTTTGTAGTTAGTAATTAATTTGCCGTAGAAGGACACTATTATAAGATTACTGGGGTTAGTTTTGTTTATATTGAAAATTGATGGCCTACCAAATAGTTTTTAAAGTAAATTCGGCCGCTACTTTTTTCAATATTCTTGTGCAAAAACAGACAGATACAATAAATATGACAAGAGGAATGACATTTATTTGACGGACCTTAAAACTTAACCAATCTTTTATGGCATATTTGAACTACTTTTAAGGTATGTTTATTTTTTCTGTAAATTTAACGTATGCGTTAATTTTATTTTTTCAGAATTACAATTTATGTTAAAATCGTAAAATTTAACACCCTTTAAAAATAAACGCATTGAATTACAGAATTACCACTATTATATAAAGAGAAAAACAGCAATCGAATCCAAAATAGCAGCAACCGTATGAAAGAGAGCTGGAATATAATAAACGAAAATCAGGGTAAAATTAAAAATAAATCACTAAATGCAATTGAAACTGGAAAAAATGTAGAAAAAGCTAATTTTATTAATAATTATTTTATAAATGTAAATCAAACTAACACTATTCCTGACCATAATATGAAAATAGACAACTTCCATATAAGTTTCTTCCTCTTTCCAACAACACCGGAAGAGGTAATCTCTATTATCCATAAAACCACCTTGAAATCGGCTGAGGGAATTGATGAAATAAACGGCAAAATCATAAGATCAGTAGCCACTCACATTGCTGAACCTTTATCTCATTTGATTAATGAATCTTTTAAATTCGGAGTTTTTCCGGAATTAAAACAGTCTAAAGGAATTCCTATCTATAAAAATAAAGGTTCACCAAGTGATATAAACAATTATCGTTTAATCTGTATTCCAAGTCAAATTACAAAAATTTTTGAATCTGCGTATTCTATAAGGCTTATAAACTATCTTGAACATTTTAAATTACTACCAGCAATTCAAAATGGATTCCGCAGTAAAAAATCTACTGCCAGTGCTATGGCAGCTTGTTTGGATTTTATTTATAGTGCATTAAATGATAAGAAAAATACTTTGGCACTTTTCTATGACCTGAGCCGTGCATTTGACACGGTGGATCATAATCTCTTGTTACTTAAAATAGAAGGTATGGGAATATGGGGAAAACCTTACGATTGGGCTAAATCTTACTTATCAAACAGAACACAAGTAGTTATAACTGATAACAAGAAATCAACTCCTCTCAAATATACAATGGGAGTACCGCAGGGATCAATACTAGGGTCAGTATTTTTTATAATATTTGTTAGTGATATCAATAAATTTTGTACCAGTCCTCATCAGATTATCCAATATGCTGATGATACAAACATTCTTATGGCGGATCATCAATTTGAACACCTTGTGCAAAGCAGCAATAATGCATCTTTTGAATTTAACAAATATTCTAGAGAAAATGGTCTGGCATTGAATGTATCAAAAACTAACTTCATGCGTTTTCTACCCAAGAATACCACCCCAAATCTTGAACCGTACTTACATATTAATGGTAAATCTATACAAAATAGTGAAAATGTTAAATTTTTGGGAATTACATTAGACCCTAAGCTAACGTGGGAAGCTCACATAGATAATGTAACTAAAAAAATATGCTCCCATTGCTATGTTATTAGAAACTTAAGAGAAACTGTGACTTTTGATGTATTAAAGCTTCTTTATTATGGACTTGTGCAGTCTACTCTTCAATATGGTTTAATATTTTGGGGTGCATCATCTCACGTCAACAAAGCATTCGTGGCACAGAAAAAAGTAATGAGAGCTTTATATAATGTATCACCCACATCATGCAAATCACTTTTTGAAAAATCTGACATTCTAACACTACCATGTCTTTTCATCTACCAATTAATATTGTACGTTCAAGAAAATGAACATACTCTTAACAAAAACGAAAACATACATTCATATAACACTAGACAAAAAACTAACACACATCAACCTTTCTCACGCCTAGAAATTGCTCAACACTCACCCAAGTATATTGGAATTAAATGCTATAATAAATTCAGTAGCATAATAGATAAAAATAATAGTCCCGAAATAGACAAAATAAAACAGTTTAAGAATAAACTTAAAGTATTTTTAGCAAAAAATGTATTTTACAGTGTGGAGGAATTCCTTAATTTTAATCCTTAATTGTTATCTCTAATATATTATTGTGTTAGTTTAAGTGTATGTATTGCAATTAATCTGTATTATATTGTTTTAATTTTAAATTGACTAGTCTGTTAGTACTTATACATTAAAAAATTGTGTTTTGTTTTCTATGTATAATACTTATGACAAATAAAATTCTATTCTATACAATAAGGTTTTCACAATATTCACTTTATAACAGGAACTGCTATGGCTTCATAAACTTTTTTCAAGCTGTCCCCATGGACTGCCTTGGCGTTTAACGTGTTAAGTGGCAAAATTGTTTTTAAAAACATTTCAAAATTCTTTCATGTTGATTTTAAATTTTTATGAAATTGATTTACATAAATCCGATACAGCAAAAAAGTGTAAAAGAAATTATAAATGATATAAACTTTTATTGAAAAATTAGACATACAGGTACATTTTTTTAGAAAATCACAATTATGCAGCCTAAACTAACAAAAATTTATAAAACATTTAACATAGAAAAAAATCAAAAATAATAAAACACATATACACAGGCTTCTCTCAAAGTCGAGAGATTAATACTTTGAAAAAAAGAAAAAAGAAAATACTATAACAATCTAACACAGATTGTGTATATTACCTTATGATAAAAAAATATATTTATTGATTTTCGAAATTTTGAGCATTTCAAACTTGTATTCAATATAAATGTTATAAGAATCAAGTTAAAAATGTAAGATTATAATACTCAATATGTATACACTATCGGCCACCGAAAGTCTTCCAATACTCAATGCACAAGTGAGTGTGAAAGCCATTTATCGCGTTGTAACGTTAGCCAGGCTACAGGCTGGCATCGCTGGTTTTGTTCCTTTCCTACTTGCTCTAGTGCTGGGTCTCTGTAGTTTTCACATGCACTTGTACCAAGGGGTATCGGAAGGTATTTGATGGACGATACCGCATATTTTATTTAACTGGTAGTTTTATTTACACATCAAAACCAATTTTTTTAACAAATTAATTAGCACCTGCAGAAAACGTAGAGAGGTGGGTTTATGATATCACTAAAACGTTAAATGCTAGAACATGCCAAATCACTTTTTTACCATGTAAATAAAAAATCACATCAGTTTTCAAATAATTAACCAGTAATTATTAGATTACAGATGCCATCAATTAATATTAGATTATTATCGAGTGATTTTGAACTATTAAATGAAAGATTGGGAATCTCTACCTAACTTTAAAAATGAAATGCGCAAATTGCAAGGTACAAAGTACATTTTTTTGCTCTTTAATCTCCATATTATACATTATGCTAAAGTTGGACGCTTTGATAAGTATTCAGATTTGTGACATTATTATTTAATTTTGGAAAACATATTATTCGAATAATTAAATTTAAATCAGTTCATTCTTAATTTTATCAACCGGGTGATCTCTAATTAAACATTTCTCAATAATTGAATCATATACATTTTTCTATATTTGATGAATTTCAATATTCTTTTCATATGTTTATACAGGAGGAACAAAATTATTTTCTGTAAGTCCTCTTGTATTGAGAAAAATTTGTCTAGAGATCTTCATAAAAATGTAAATCATTTTTCTTTAAACTCATCTATCAATCACCTTATAAAATCTATTAAGTTAAATTTTTATAATATCTAAAAATTCGCAAAACATTCGTAAGTCTCTTGCCTCTTAATTTTATTGAGACGTCAGAGGTGACATTCCAACTTGCCGAGGATCGGTGGCAGCAGTAGATTCTAGATTTTTTAGTAACTGCGATAACCAGTGAGTGGTTGATTTATCCTCCTGAAGACATACATTGAATGTATTGTCTCTAAGTTGATCTGGCAGACATTGCCTAAGAGCTTCTCTAGCTCTAAAAAATATTTTTGTTAGTACCAACAAGAACACATTAAATCAAGAATAGTTTACCTGGGATTATCTGATAAACGGAGATAACATCTTACGACATGTTTCAAAAGCCTAGCTGAGGGCTCTTTCGCCAAGGATATCACCATTTTTCCCTAAAAATATATTAAAAACACAAAATCATTAAATAATACAGTAAATTATATGTGGTATAGATTTTGTATTTTTGTTATAATTCTTTTTGAGTAATTTGACAAAATTCGAAAAAATTAATAATCTTTCCTCCTTAAATAATTAGATGCTTACCAAAATCATAGCTACATGGCTGAACCTATCATAAGTTTGACAAATATAAGATAATCCACTGTCATCTAATAATATTTTCTGTAAAATAAACGTCGCAACTGTTTTACTCAATTCCGAACCTGATTCCATTATTCTGAGGCACAATGGAATAATTTCAGTAGTGAGAAGGAATGTTATAACTTCCTGTTCATCAGTCTAAAAGAAAAATACAGTTTATTATTGTTTCAGAAAGCATTTATATTGACTGTACATATACGGAAATTTAATTGAGGACTGTCTACTTTATAATGAATTGGACAACAAGGTATAATAGGAAGATGCATGCAACAAAGACCACTGATAAGCGAGGACGTTGGTTGCACAATACTACTCACGACAAATTTCTAATTACGATTATAGAAAAAAATTATATTATACTTCATACAATATAAAAACCAATGCGTATTTTTTTAGAGATTACCTGTTCGTAATTTATTTTCAATCATATAATGATGATAAATATTCATTTACTTCTTTTTCTTATATAGTTGCATTGAAGATAAACTAGGTATTACAAGTATAAAATTGTTTTTATCATCCTTATTTTTTTTTTAATTTGATGTCATCAGCGTCGACTACTACGGCCATTAGCCTCGTGTTCTGTGTAGGCTTTGTTACTGTTTCCCAGCGCCACTTTAGGAACAGCACTGTTAATTAGAACCCAACAGTGAATGGTCGAGTATGGAATCCTACTAAGGCATCAGAATTAATTTTAAATAATTAAATTAAATGAAAAAATCCCGGCCAACGGTGGGATTCGATCCTGAGACCTTCCGATCTCAAAGTCATGACTCTAACCACTGAGTCAACCCACCCCCTATCATCCTTATTATGGTTAAATCACGTTGTTATTTTTTAATTTTATAACATTGAATTCCTAAGCCTATGAGTTTTCAATTGTATAGTGACAGCTAAGTTTTATAATAAAGTTGGTATTTTTTTATGAACTGTCATTTTAAGTTTAATGTTGTCATATATTTATTGTGTCTTGTATTTATTATTTTTGGTTATTTCGTTATTATTTTTGATCGTGTCGTTATTATTTTTGATTTTTTGGTCATTATTTTTAGTTATAAAAAACTGTTATCTCTTCCTCGCAGGTTTAAAAATGCCAAAAAAATTAAATAGCCATTGTAAGGAGATCATAGCTTCATTGATACAGTATTTTGAACAAGAACGCGATAACAATGGTCCTTTACTACCTTTAACTGCTGTTAGAGAAGTAAGTTTTTACTAATATTGTCTGGAAACATCAAACTAATCACATTTTTTAGCGTGTATCAGCAGCACTTAACTTAAATTTGTCCACTGTAAGTGCTATTTCTCAAGCAGCTAAGAATAATGTCATTTTGAAATCGCCTCCAAAAAAGCATCTTCGTACAAAGAAAGTAACTAATACAAGAACTCTAGATACAAGAACTCTAGATAAAAGTACAATTCGAGATGTTATTTACAACATGTATGAAGCTAGTAAGTGTAGATTCTTCATTTTATATAATCTAATTATATATAGGCACCTATATATTTGTTTGCAGACGAACACGTAATTTTGGATTCTATATTAGAAAAATTGAAAGAAATTGTTTAAAGGATGCCGCATGTCATTATGCACCTTATTAAAAGATATTGGTTTTAAATAGAAAAAAGATGATTCAAAGGGAGGGCTTATGGAACTTTCCAATGTTGCTGTGAAACGTGCTGTGTTTTTAAGAAATTACATGAAAGAAAAGGAATCAGGTTTATTTCAGTTTGTTTTTATTGATGACATGGATTTTTCAAAATGGGACTAAAAACCGTTCTTAGCAAGATAAAAATAAACGAAGTGTGAAAACCACAAAAGTTGATGGTAAAAAGTACGTAAATATTTACTAGAATATAGCTACATGCTTCAGTTGAAATTTTTATTTATAGGTACATTATACTCAATGCTGGATATGAAAATAGGTTCATTGAAGGAGCAGAGGCTATATATGCGTCATAAAGTAAGCTGAGTGATTATCATGGTGAAATAAATAATAAGAATTTTTTTAAATAGTTTGAAGAACAGTTACTGAAAAAGCCTAATGAACCATCCTTAATCATAATGGACAATGCTTCATATCACAGTACATTGTTACATAAAACACCAAACACTAGCTGGACAAAGATTAAAATACAAGAGTGGCTGACAAATCAGAATATTAGATTTTCATTTGCTATGTTTAAAGCAGAACTTCTGAATCTTGTTGCACAGTCAGTAAAAGAAATCTGTTTCGTCTATAATTTCTCAATTACTTTTTTTTAAGAAATAAACCACCAAAAATACAGACAAAGTCTCTCTCCATTAATTACATAAGGTGTTCAAGGGGGTGTGAAAGTAAAGTTAAATTAGAGTTAAATTAAAGTAAAGAATGTTTCTAGATATTTTATATTACGGCAATATCAAATACTAGTCTTTGCTAGTCTTAAATTGATATTTTACACCCCCTTTCATAAATTTATAAAGCAATTACTTAGTACTGAGCTTTAATCTCTGATCTTTAATTTTTAATGTAAATATTTTATTCAACCTTATTGTCTTTTAAATCTTTTAAATTCTTTACCTATTTTATGAATTATACCAGGATTGTATTTCAGCACCATATATATTTTACTACATTTTAATTATAATTTTAAAATTGTAATTTATTTCTCAAATGGGCTTGCCCGTAAATAAATAAAATAAAGTTTAAAAAAAAAAAAAGTAATAGAACATATTGTGTTTTTGTTTTTTTGTATAATCCAACCCATTTACACCCAAGACAAATTTTTTGAAAAATCTTACGTGAGATTAGGGGAGGGGGAGGGCGTTGAGGAAAATCTTTTGAAATCTCACCAGGGGATAGGGGGGAAAGGGGTCAAAAAATCCTCAAAAATACCTCATGTAATTAATTGTATATTGAATACAATTGAACTTATTTGGGGCATTACAAAGCAATATTACAATAGACATATTAGTCGAGATGGTAAAAAAAAGAAGATTGTTTAAATATGTGGTCAGAAGCACTCCAGACCATAACACCACAAATTTGGAAAAAAAGTATCAGTCATACAGAAAAAGAAATCTCAAAATGGTATGATAGAGAGGAAATAATTGATAGAATAGAAATTACACCAATTATTAATACACCAAACAGCGATAATAGTAATTTCGGAAGCGATGAATCTGAATAAAAATATCAAGAGACCCGAAAGAGACATTGTTACAATTATGGTGATGATTTGGAGTTATTGAGTGAAATACACACTAATAATATAATCAATTGCAGTACTGTATTGTAATAATAATTGTATTCTTTAGTTTAATATTTACTTTATTTGTACAGGAATTTTATATAACTAACAAACTGTAAAATAAAAGTCGTTATGTTTTGAAAAATTTTTGTTTTCATTTTTTGATACACAAATATTGTTCAGGAAGTTAAACTGAAACATTATAATAATGCTTCTACATGCTATATTAATATAATCCCATAGAGCAAATTTTGATATTATTTTTTAAAGCCCTTACTCAACTAATGTTCTCAATAGATTTATGCTTATATGCTGGTTTTTATATTGTATGAAGTATAGTTAAAAAATGCGCACGATATAATAATCAGTCATATTTGAACTAAATAACCAGATTGTCAGTGTTACAATAACTGTACTATGTGAGACTGAATATTATTAAATCAAACCAATATTATTATATCCAAATATTCAATTTTTTGTACACTATAGCAACAGTGTTCTACTAACAAGGAAACATTTTGGGACTGAGCACAATACATCAAACCCAGGTAGACGTCCTAAAATTTTGTCCATGTGAATTTATGACTAAAAAAAATTGACATTTTTTTTTTTCTTCAAAAATTAATTGTGATGTTAATATGCATTTGCACAAGATATGTTACTTAGGTTTTATATTTACAATAGTGATACCTATAAGTAGGCATGCTTATTTTTCTTCCAACTGAAAAGAGCTCCAAACTAGACAATGAGCCAAATTTGAACTATTCATTCGTTTTAAAGGCACAAAACAGCTTATAGAATTTGTTAATATTTAATAAAAATTTTCAAAGGCAGAGTCCAAATTTTAAGCTGCAAGAAATTGATGCAAAATTTAGAACTTATTGTAAAGACACGAAAACAATTTTCTGCTTACTTACCTTAACCAGAGCACCAATAACCCCCAGGCTAGTTAATCTCAAATACTCAAATGACCTAGTTTTTGATGAAGTATGTAGAAATGGATATAGAAATAATGGTACATGTGCCAATAAAAATTGTGACCTAGTCTCTGAATGTGATGCCACACATTGAAGAAGAGCCAGAGCATTGCAAACCCTAAAATATAGAAGTTCCTACTGTAAATAATATATGTAATAATTATATAGTATCTATAAAACAAAACTAACCGGTTTGATTGATGTGCTGTTAAAGTGGGTGGATTTATAGCAGGATATATATTTATAATTTCCTGTAATAGAGCTGCAGTTGTTCCGAAACTATTCCATAACATTGGGGCCAAATCTGGTACAACTTCACGTTTCTTACTAAAAGTCAAAATATACATATTTATGTATAAATAATTATAAAAATTACCTTAGTTCTAATAAAGCATTTTCTCTAGTTTCGGGATTAGTAAGTTCCAAAATCCACATATAAACTTTTTCTCTTTCCACTGTCTGATTTGCAGGACTAGGTTGGGTACTCATTTTTCTAATGAATTTTGTACACTAATTAATTTACCGATAATAATTTTTTAATGCAGTAAATTATATAACCAGCAGCGACGTATTTTTTGCAAATATGGAAGCAGTAATTAAGAAAGCATAACCTTCTCTTTGCATAACAAACCCGAACAAAAACCACTTTCTTTTCACTTTTAACTTTTGACAATTTTGACTGATTGACGTTGACAATTGACTAGAACGGGATCAATGATATAAATTAATTTATAGATTGCTTACTATGTGTAAATAAGACGAGAAAAAGCAGGTCGTACTTATGAGACTAAAGAGGAGGCAAATCGACAATGGTCAAATTTCCGTCCTTCTTTTTATAAAGTTCGCGAAATTGACTGTAGTTGGCATGTCGAATAACAGCGGTGTCAATTTTATATGTAAGTCAATGTAAAATGAGAAGTGATTTTTTTAAAAATTGCTAAAAGAATCAAAATAATGTGAAAAAAGTACCTGAGTACAAGTAACATGAGTGACAAAAAACATCAAAGCAAGATTTACGTCGTTCCAGATTGTAAAACAATCAAATCAAATGTAAAACTAAAGAAAACACAAAGATAAATCAATTCAATGTCTTTTTAAAGCTTCTAATGTAAGTAAAATAATGTATTTATGTCTAAATATAATATTTATTGCAAACTAGTCACAATATGTATCTTACGGAGTGTAGTTTATTTTATTACAAGTTACTATGATATAAAATTTTACAGTCATAGATCCTGACTTACAAACAACAATAATTATACATTAAATTTAACTTACTAAAAAATAAAATTATTTTTTATAGAGATAAAGAGTTGCTATTCTTATTTTTTTGTTGAACCCCAGTTGTGTCATTGTAAATATTTTTTATAGGATATTAAACGCTTAGAATAGTGGCAGCATATGTATCATTCCTAGTGCCGATAAAGCACTTTCTAAAGATGATGCTGTTCTATACTTTTTAGAAGATATTATCAAATATTATGAGACTATTTTAGCAAAATAAAAAGGGGAAAGCTGAAATTAAAGGATGAGGTAATAACATGTACATTCATAAATCTCCCTTTATACTTGTATTACAACAATAAAAAATCTGTTGTGTTTTATTTTGCGCTTAAAACTATATATAGGTTCAGTTCAAAAAAAATTTGCCATAAAATTGTACTTTTCAAATTTCAGCATTTAACAAACCTTTTCGAATTTAGTCAACCTACCTAATTTGTATTTTATATAGATAAAATTAAATAATTTATTAATTAAAACATGCAAGACTTATTTAGAAATAAATACAAGAGTATGTTCTGTGCTTTATTTAGCTATAAACAAATTTATTTTTATTATTTTGACAAAATTATGTATAATTCCCATAAGAAGCCATGTATATTGAACACCATAAGCAGTACCAGTATTTTGAGTATACCGATTCGCCTCCTTATCTCTAGTCTTCATAGTCGTACTACGCGCCAAGTGCCCACTAATCAGAATCGGTCTAAACCAAATGTGTTTTAAAATCAAATTTCAGCCTTTAAATACAGCAAAAAATTTGTATTTATTTTGTATTTTGAACTGCGACTTGTCAATAATCAATTAACAATAATGAAATAATTTCTTGTAGTGAAACATCTTTCAAAAATAATTATTTACAAAAGACAAACATGAAAATGGATATATTTATATTGTTTTTAATTTTTGTGTTTACGAAAGTTCCCCAGTAAACCACAAATAGTCGGCATTCGCTCGGCCTGACACTGGCATGTACGGGAAGCCTAGTTGCTTCTGAGCCGGAAGAACCTTACCATTTGAAGTAATTTAGAAGTAGAAACCGCATGTAGTCCATATTTGGTTTTCCAGACATGGGAGGCATCCTTATACGGGTCGAACGCGGTGAGTATTTGGCTAGCCGGGCATGGGAGGCATCCTTACGGGCCGAACTATGTATAGATATATGAACACTGCTAAAATGTAGTGGGCTGCCGACATTCGACTGGGCGAACATGCCCTACCTATATGCCGTATATCCGGCATCCGACAAGCCTCCTTAGGCCCAGTTACGGTGCCGATTAACTGTGTTTATTAGGTCATGGCATGATTCATATCCTGAAATTGAAATCTGCTGTACGATCCCTCATTTTCCATGACTTTTTCTCCAGAGAACTAAATTTATATTTATTGATATCATAGCTAAGGCGTTTAGTGGATCATTTAGCATGGTGCTTAGTAAAAATTCCGTGAAAACTATAAAACAACTTTAAAAAAGCAAAACAGTCGTCTGACGCCTCATTATCTAATATCTAAATGCTGGTCCGCTGTGAAAAAATAAATGGCGCAACTAAACTAAGAAATAACTATTGTATTTGCTTGTCCATGTACGTATTTCATCTGAAATCAATTAATAATAATTGAATAGTTGTTTTTCAGTGCAGTTGCGCCATTTAGTTTGCACTCGTCTTATATGTGTCATGAAACAACAACAATTAGAAAGTAGTGCTCCAGGTGCATATTAAAAAGCGCAGGTTGAGCTATATAAACAAAACCTGTTTGGTTTTTGTATGTACGCATTTTATGTGAAACCAACTATACATATTTTTCCGTTTACCGTGTATTAATCCATCCAGCTAATGTTGAAAAATCAGGCAATAATTGACCACATTATTGGTCTACTTTCCATTATTAACCGTTTATCTGCAACTTACACTATACCTACCTGCATTGTTGTGAACTATCCTTGTAAATTATATTTTTCACTTTAAAATAAAATATTAAAATTTTAAGCTTGATTTTTCATTTTATTAGAGATTTCGTCGCTGACAAATCTTATAATGAACTCTTATATTAAAAGGTGATTAATAAACTAGGTCATTAAATAACTAAATAAATTTCACAATATACCTTTATGTATTTTACTGATTAAAATTATCTGTGAAACCAACGATGAATGTAACATATGTTTGCGAAAATCAAAACTGAATTATTTAAACAGAAAAATAATTTCAATATTGAAATTAAATCCGGTGCTGTTTAATGACGTATCATCGTCTGAAAACGACTTAATGCGCATGCTCAGTAGGGCCGCAACGAGCAGAATGTTTGTGACAAAAGTGAATTATATTGGCGATATACTGGTTGCATATATATCAGTAAAATCCGCTTTTCATTATTGTGGATGTTCAATCTATATAAATATATCATTGGACCTAATACGAGACAAACTGACACAGAACACGATTCACATGTAGTCACAAAACCCTTAGAAGCGGCGTGTGTTTAATGAAACTCGGATCACACTTTTAACTCCGATCTGCCCTTTTATTAGTTAAGGGCAACAGCACCACGAAAAAATACAAATTAAACAGCATTAAACTTTAAAAATAACAGCAATTTAAGAAAAAACTGTCTCCAGGAAATAAACACCCTGTAGCCTCGTTACAATTCCTTCCACTTTCTCTTTCGAAGTATTTGAATACTATTACTTTAAATAGACTTCTCTTTACATGATGTTAACATATTTTCTAATAAGTATTCGCAGTTTTTTAAATAAGTAACTAATTTAAAAATAATTTGAATAAACTAAATAAAAAAAATTTTTCATTAATATTTATGAGTTATTAGTAAATATAGATTAATATTTTGTAAAACACTATTATAGTAGATTGTGGATTACTAAATAAAAATAAATTAAAAATCATGAAATTATATTTAAAAAAGTACAAAATAAAACAACTGTACATTTAATTAAAAATTTTCATTTTATCCCTCCTAGATTTGAACTGGTATTTTATTGATTTCTGCCCTTTCGACCTAAAAAGTTTACATAATAAATAATAATACCAAAAAAAATAATAATACCAAGATAATGTTAAATAACTTACATATCGGTCAACATAATGAATGGTTTCAAAGAACACTTCAACCATAATAAGGATTATTATCGTCCATTCTAACTTAGTGCTGTGTTTATTACTTAAATGCGATGATAAAAGTTCTATAAGAGAGACACAATGATTTAACTTTTCATTCATGACCTAAAAGAAAATACCACTTTATGACATGTATACCGTTATTCTGATAAACTACTAAACATTTAATATAATTAATCTATTAAACATTAACAATTTAAAAAAATCTTGGTATTGCATTACATATACCAAGAATTCAAACTTTGTTAATTATAAATCACCTTTTAAAAATGCAACAAAATTTGTAACAGAACTGCAAGGTCAAGATCTTGCTCAAAGCGAACACATTTGACTGCACACGAGAATGTGGTGTGAATCACATAAAATATAAGAAACAGTATCATTTTTTCAAATGCTACATGTAATACATGTGGCAAACTAGTGGATGAACCTTGGAACTGCTATTACATTAGATTCGTTTGTGTCATTCCACCTTAGGCGTAATGCCATCGGTTGTATTATATTTCCTTTCATTATATTCAGTTTAGAATCTGTTCTTGATTAGTAAAGTTATAATTTAAATTAATCTTTTTAAAAAACTAAATACAGAGTGTACTTAGTTAAGTGGCGCAGTTAGTAGGATGGTCAAACGGGTTTAGTGCACATAATTCCTAGTTCGTTTCTACGATTTTTTGACCATTTTGAACTTTAAAACGTGTTTGAGAAGTTTTCCAGTTGGGTGAATTGAGTAGACTAACGTGAAGAACGCTATTCGAGTTAAGAAAGACATTCAAGTGAAAATTGAAGAGTCTACCCGGTCCAGTCCTTGGTTGACGACGGAATTCGAATAGATGGAGTGGAAACTACTTTTACTGTGTTTTTATGTCGTTTAGAGAGCAACTTTTATTATCAATTCTGGAAGTTCAGACAATTCTGATTCAGATACAGATTCTGACTCAAATTTAAACAAAACAAATTTAGACATTTCAAATATTTTAATTTCAAATAATAAATTTAAAATGGCTCCAACAATTCCAGAATTAAAAGATAAATATTTAGATATGATCCCAGATTTCTATGGTGATCCCGCCTTACTTCCTAGATTTATAGAAGTAAACGAAAAATTAGTTAGGAAATTTTACAATACTGTAGATGTAAACGATTTTCCAAATGAGTATTTAATGTCTAGTATTTTAGAGAAAGTAAAAGGTGAAGCTGTCAAAAATATATTGTCTTGTACGATAAGAAATTGGGAAAATTTAAAAGCTGCTTTATTGAATACATAAGCAGATAAAAGAGACATTTATACCTTAAGCTTGGACATTTCAGCATTACAACAGGATAACGATTCTCCGTTTCAATTCTTCAATAAAATTCAGCAACTTTTAAATCTCCTAATAACTTTATTAATGACTTGTTCTAACGAAAATTAACAAAATGTTTTAGGCAATTATTTTAGAAATCAGAAAAGAAACTATTAGGTATATTAATGCGAACAAAAAACCCTTTAGATTTAAATTCTGCTTTGAATACACTAACGAATGATTTTCAAATTGAAATGGGACCATATAATAATAGTCCAAGATACAAAAATATTAATCATAATTACCAAAATAAATCTTAGAAATAGACAACATTTTCAAAATAATTATTAAACTGGCAACCAGAAATGCCAAGCTCATCTCAAAATTATCAACAATTAAATATAAGTGTAGGTTTAGTACCTACCTCGAAATCAACCTAGTACAAGTAGGGGTCCAAATACGAAAGTTTTCAGACCTAATCCGAATCAAAAATTCCAAAATCTGACACCCATAAGTACAAATACTTCAAATTCCTTTAGACCTGCAAGAAAATAGTTTAAGAGTCCTAATTGACACTGGCAGTACAAAATCCTTTGTTGTGCCAGAAATTGCTGACAAATATTTTAAAATATCCTTTATACGCAAACCATTCAAAGTTTCTACTGCTTTAGGAACGAAACAAGAAAATTATTGTACAGTAATTCCATCCTCAAAAATATTTAAACATAATAAATCAATTAATTTAGAATATTGTATTTTTAAGTTTCATAATCACTTTGATTGTTTATTAGGGTTAGATAATCTCAAGAAATTAAACGCAAAAATTGACTTAATAAATGACTTATTAATTGTCCCTTACAGGCAAATCAAAATAAATTATTTTAAGATAAATATGAGTGCACGAATTGTATAGTAGTGCCACCACGAACAGAACAAATTATTAAATTAAATATAAGTAATGTCAAAAACGTAATAATTCCGTATAAAAAAAATTGGGAAATTAGAAATTCCTGAATATTTAACAAAAGTAGAAGATAGTACAGCTATATGTACCATCTTAAATTCATCTGAATCATATTTTAAAGTTGACCTAAATCCAAGTATAGAAGTTGCAACGTTCGCTGAATACGAACAAACAACATACCCAGACTTAATATTTTTACAGACAAATTAAAATTTGATAATTCAAAAGTTGAAACGTTCGATGAATACGAACAACTAACGTACCCAAATCGAAATAAAATTTACAAAGACAAATTTAAATTCGATATTTCAAAAGTTGAAACGTTCGCTGAATACGAACAAACAACATACCCAAACTTAAATACAAAAGTGATGCTTTATTTAGAATAGAACTTAATGTAAACGAAACAATAACTAATTCAAAACAATACTTCTACAGAAATTTTCGATTATATGAAAAACTTTAATAACGAACTTCAATGTCCTAAATTAAATAATGAACTAGAATCTTTTGTAGTAGAACCTGATGATATAAATCATCATCATCATCTGAATTAGGGCGTGGTTCAAAGCCCACTTGTACTGAAGCTCTAGGCTTATTGTACCCCTCACAGTTTCTATCCCATCAGATTGATTTTCTTGATGAATTCAAGAATATGTCTGATGGGCGCTTTCGCGATTTCTTCAGGTTCCGGATATTGTACCCCGAAGTACCATTCCCGTTCCCATTTAAGGTTCCGGCAGTGGCATAGTATGTGAATAGGAGTTTCACATATTCTACATAGGGAGTCATCTCAGCGGTTGAGTGCCAACTGAGCGCGTCTCCAGGTGGTGGATGGGAGGACGGCCAGGATTTATTGGTCAGTGGTAGATATAAGTAGAGTGAGAGAGCCTAAAAACTCTCAAAATCTTTTGCGAAGTCTACCGCCGCGAACCAACTCCCCAATCTAAGGTGTAAGGCAACGTGCCGATGGATGAATTGTCACAGGGGTATATGCGACATCGAACGTTCCCTTGGGGGCACCGGGCAACACTCCCAAGTAACTAGCCTTCTCCTGATAATGCGGGGCTCTGTCAGGAGTGACGAATCTTTCCCTAGCTACTCGTGGGACTTATATGGACAATAAGGACAACAAACCAAAAAAATACAAAAAAAAATCCGGAGCTTTCAGGCGAAAGCAGAAGAAGCTCCGACAAAACACCGGCACTAGCGGGACCTCAGAGCAGGAGGGACAGGGAGGCGCATCCTCCGCATCATTAGATGTGGGGAGTGAGGCTGGACCTAGTTCTTCCGGCACAGGGCGGACCACTATGCCAGTGAATGCTGGACCAGGGGTACGGGGGCAAGCGTCTCGTCCTTTCTCTACGGAGATGGAACAAAACGCGAGTCCTAGTACCTCAGGGATGGCAAAACAAAAAAACATAGCTAAGGCTGTGTCCAGCGAGAAGGGACGAACCGGGGCTCAAAAGAGAAACCGGTCCGATACCAGCACGCCGGAAAAAGGAAAAACCAAAAGGGCTAAGGATGCGAGAGCTGCGGGTTCGGGACCAACTGGTACCACATCAAATGTGGGGCCGGATGGGACTGAGCCAGTAGCATCGTGTTCTTACGCCTCTAAAGTAATCAATATTGGGGTAGCCATTGTACCAATAGACTATCCCAGTAATACACTAACAACGGAGCAGGGAGACCTAATAAGGACTGCACTGCTCGACAGACTCGAAGAACTAGACGAAGGAGGACTTTCACCCAGGTTCTCCGAAGCTAGGATAAGAAACAGGAGCTTGAACCTTTCTTGCGTTGATTAAGCAACGAGAGATTGGGTTGAGCAGACCGTCAAAAGCATGGTACCTTGGGATGGTGCTAAACTCAAAGTCATAGACTCTGGGGAAGTAATCAAACCCAAGTTAACCATGGCATGGATACCGGGACCCGCAGTGGAACCGGAAAGAATAATGAAAAGACTGAGAATCCAAAATTCGGGGCTCCAAACGGGGAACTGGAGGGTTACTGGAAGGAAGTTGGACCCCAGGGGACAGCAACTTTTCATAACCATGGATTCCGTCTCTTGGGAGAAGATAAAGGAGAGGCAGGGAATACTGTTCCTGAATTTCACCAATATCTCCATAAAAGAAATTGGAGGAAAGACGGAACGGGCTAATCCTGCTGCTCCTGAAACTTCTCAGGGAAAAGAAACACCTACTGAGGTAGGAGATAACATACCAGAGGAGAATCAGTCGTTGGTCGTAGAACCACAAGAAAGTGGGGCTACAGAACAAGAGACTGAGGCTCCAATGGAAATAGGGGACTTCGAATCAGCAGCACGCGAGATAGGTGAAGACGAGGAGAGGACTCTTTTAGGGGACTCACCGCTGTCTAACCCGGCTGACGTGCCGGAGGAGGAAGAGGACCCTACATCAAGGAATAGGGGGTACCTTAAAAAAAATGAAGGTAATCCAAGCAAATATACATCACTGTTGGGCGGCAACAGCTGTCCTACAACGATGTATAATAAAACAAGACATTGATCTTGCTCTAATCCAAGAACCACTTATATACAAGGGGCAAATTAGAGGGTTGCATATATCAGGGGACTATGACCTGATTTATTCAGCGTCTGGACACCCAAGAACCTGCATTATTACGAATAAACGCTTGAAGGTGTTTCCACTATGGGAATTTTGTACAAATGACCTAGTGACAATATCCCTAAAGCTAGACGGAGGAACTAATCTGATTGTTGGATCCGTATATCTACCATATGACCAACCTGGGCTCCCCCCACCAAGGAGGTGAGAGAACTGGTTAGTCATTGTGAAAAAAAAACAAAATCGAACTTCTTCTAGGGTGTGATGCCAATGCTCACCATATAGTATGGGGAAGCACTGACATTAATAACCGAGGAGAAGCTCTTCTGGAATTTATTGCATCCAATAAACTAGAAGTTGCAAACGTTGGAAATGAACCAACCTTCGTAACATCTGTGCGAAGGGAGGTAATTGATATAACCCTAGGTACACAACGGGCATGTTCATTGGTGGGGAAGTGGCACGTCTCACCAGAAGCGTCACTTTCCGACCATAGACATATCCTGTTTGAGATGGGTACTAAAACCTCGGGTGAGAAGACATATCGTAATCCTAGGACCTGTAACTGGGGAGCTTTCAAGGAAGAACTCAAACAGGGACTGGAGGACTGTCCTCCGATACCGAAGAATTCAGTGGAAGTTGAGTTTATGTTAGAGTTTCTGACACGAACCCTAACCAACACATTTGAAAAAAACTGTCCTTTAAAAATTAGGAAAGAGGATCGAAACGCTGTATGGTGGAATCGAGACCTTTCCAAAAAAAGAGCAGAAGTTCGTAAACTCTTCAACCTGTCTAAAAGGTCGGGGAACTGGGAAGCCTATAAGGCGTACCGGAGAGAATATGGCTATGCCATCAGGAAAACCAAAGAAAATTGCTGGAAGAAATTCTGTGACGGCATTGAAAGCCTTCCAGTATGTGCCAGACTCAGGAAAACTCTACAGAGAGATAAGCAAGGATGCATGGGATCTCTGAAAAATCAACAAGAAGAACCTACAAAAACAGAGGAGACCTTAGATTTACTACTAAAGTCACACTTTCCTGGATGTAAGATTATTCTTGACCAAGAGAACAGGCGTACTGAGGCACTAATTTCTAGGGCCTTAAAAACAAACTGGTCTCTCGCAAACTCAATAGTAAACAGAACAAAACTTGTGTGGGCAATAAATTCCTTTCAACCATACAAAACAGCTGGACCTGATGGTATAATCCCGGCACTTCTACAAAAGGGCCAGGAAGTACTGGAGGGACCACTGTGTAAACTATTCCGAGCTAGCATAGCCCTCGGATATGTTCCACAAAGCTGGAGGTGTGCAAGAGTGGTCTTCATTCCCAAACCCGGGAAAGCGTCATACGACGAGACCAAATCTTTCAGACCAATCAGCCTAACGTCATTTTTCCTAAAAACATTGGAGAAATTGATCGATAGATATATACGGGACGATGTTCTACGGGATAAACCGATACATCGATACCAGTTTGCCTACCAATCTGGAAAGTCTTGCGATGCAGCCATACATAGGCTAACTCAACGGGCTGAACAAGCATTGGAAAGCAAAGAAATAGCACTAGGAGTCTTCCTAGATATAGAAGGAGCCTTTGACTCGGCTTCATGATATAAATAATGACATCGAAGATAAAAATGATACTATTCACACTAATGTAGAGAACCCAATACCAGGCATACTTGTCTCGGATTGCGCAGTAAATGTCAGAAAAAATCAAATAATAATATCCGAAGTCAATTTTTCTCCTACCACTCCTACTATTATAAAACCAACAACGAATTCTTGTACAATTCTCAAAAAATAATATTGAAAACGATGTTATCAAATTTTTAAAAGAATACGTAGTACACCAAAAGTAAAATATCATCTATTTTGAAGATCCCCTATTCGCTCCGTGCGAAGTCATGGAAAGGGAAGCAAAAGCGATACTAGCGCTAGCTGCGGATAATTCGTGCATTTTAGGGCGATATTTTGTAATTTTGGCATATCAAATACACGTATACATTTTACTTTTTTTCAAAAAAAGTAGGTAAAAACAATACAATAAGCAACCGGAGTTGCTGTCTTGAAAATTGTACAAATACTAGCAAAAAAACAGTGAAACTTATATAAAAAATTTCAGTAGCAAAGTGGAAATTAAATCAAAGAAATAAATGGATAGATATACAATAAGAAGAAAAATTACCTTTATTTTTGTAATAATAACCGTAATGCTGCAAATAGTAGACATCAGAAACTTGAAAGATTTTAAATAAACAATAAATTATCATTTTACCATGTTCTTTAATATCCCTTATTCTTAAATGTTCATTCAGCAAGGACTAGATTTCAAGATTTCTGCCTTTGATTATTATATGTGGTTGGAACGCAATTTTGTAACTTACTGATGGGAAATCAGTTTTAATCATTCATTCTATGTTTTCTTTCGAACAAAAATGAAAATATAAGTAATGATCCTTTTTTTATACATTTTAACTTCACGCTATTATTAAATGGTATTTTTTTATTTTGACCGAATAGACTAATTCTTAAATGAAAACTTATTAGACTTAGGCAACTTCTCATACATTTTCCAGTAAATACTGTTGCCTGCCTATATTTTATTTTTGATTTTTATCGATTATACATAATTTTCTTTAATTTAAGCGATAAAAATATATAATAATAATAAATTAATGTTTTACTTGTTTTACAAATCCATATACTTTTATTAAAACTACCATATATACTTTTTAATTACGAATTCTATTAAAAGTTGCATTTGTCAGTGTACGCAGAAATAGTCCATTAGTATCAAAACGAATTGGCGCTGCTGTCGCGCACGGAGCGAATAGGAAAAATTTAGCGTTGTTGTACAACAATTTTTCAAAAATTCACAAATTTCATTTATTAAATGTTCCAAAAAATGTATTGATGTCCCATTAAATGAAGTTGAAGATGTAATAAAAAATTATCACGAAGGAAAACAAAATCATAAGAGGTATAGATGAAACAGAAAATAGAATTAAAATAATATATTATTGGCCCAATCAAAAAGCATCAATTCAAACCTACATTAACAGCTGTGAAATATGCCAATAAAATATGATAGGAAACCTATTCACAATATTACTCCTACAGCGATTAAACTTTTCCAAATATTACATTTAGATACAATAACATTAGAAAGTAATAATTTTTTAACTATAATAGACTCATTTTCAAAGTATGGTCAATTCCGCACAAGGAAACGAAGTAGTCAATAGTCTAATTAAATATTTTACTAACTGTATACCAGAACAAATAATTTCCAATAACGGTACAGAATTTAAAAATTCACTTGTAAAAGATCTATTAAATCTTTACAAAGTAAAAATTCATTTCATTAGCTCACAGCATCCAGAATCCAACGGCATCGCTGAAAGATTCCATTCTTCTATTATCGAACATATTAGATTACTAAATAACCAAAACGAATATAAAATTGAACCTATAAACCATTTATTATACTCGTATTCACAATTAAATAAAAATATACAAGAAAAAGTTATTAAGAAAGCTAATGAAAAACGAGAAAAGTTAACAGATTAAATTGCTTCTAAAGTATTTAACAGACAAAAACAAAGTAAAACTAAAAATAAATATCAATAATTTGTTATAATAATGCCAAACACAAAATATATATTAAAATCCAGAAATCAAATAAAGCCTCTAAACGATATTTGCACACGCGGTACAAAAATTCCAATGTCCTAGCCATTTACAAAATAATAATGAACAATTAGGCGAAAAAAAATTTTACTAAAAGGAAATTCTAGCCATTGTCAATATGTTAAGGTAGATATTTCTAAAAATCATATAGAAATTATACTAGAAACAAATCAATTTTTTGCAATATTTCCTAAAGAAGAAAAATTATTATTACAATGCTTGCAACGAACTGAAATTAAAAACCTATCTGGAATATTATGCAATTCCTGTTGCGGTATTAGCCAAAGAAGTAGTTGTTTTCAGAAGAAAATTTTCGCTCATTGTTTTTGTGACCAGATCTTTGATTTTTCTTTTTCCTTGATGGATTAAATTAATAAATAACGTTATTTATGAGCATTTGAAAGAATCATGGTGTTAAAACCCTTCAACTTACTTTAGTTCTTTTATTTATGGAATAATATGAGCACACTTGGCTGTACAAATTCTCCAAATGGTCATTATCCCAGTAGAAATCAGGTATATCCAAAACATCGGAACTTAGATTTAAGTAATGTCTAAGGGCAAACAGCTCTCCATGCTTTTTTAATACCTCTTCTCTTGTCATTTTTATTTTACCTCTAAAAAATTTTAAAAGTGATTTTTCTTAAATATATAAGAGTGCTAAAACATGAAAATTGTTATATTCATTCTGAAAACTTTTAGATTAGAATAGATTAAAATAATAGAACAATTGTTACTCAAGGGATGGAATATGTATGTTTTCTAAATGTGTGTGTTCCAAACGCAGGTGTTTTCTTGAGACAGGCCCCGGCCTGGGAATGTGTTTAAATTTAGAAATATACATTATGAACTTTAAACAACGGCCTCATTATTAGTAAACACAACTATGAAATTATAAATAAAAGGGGACCAAAAATTGATCCCTGCGGAACTCCTGATGTTTGTTTGAAATTTTTTGACCTGTAACCACGACATTGAACATTTTGATGCCTACTCAACAAATACGAAGCAATATATTGAATGATTTGATCGCATAAACCAATGGAACTTAACTTATGGAGCAAGATGAAATGATCAATTTTGTCGAAGGCCTTGGAGAAATCTGTGTATATTACATCAACTTGACTTCTCCTATCCAAGGCTTCCGAAATGAATTGCCTCGAACATACAAGGTTTGTAACTCAAATCAAATCAAATTTATTCATTAAAATAATTTACATTTTTTTTTAACAATTTTTTAAGACCCGCCTAAACAAAGTTTGTGTGCGGAATCTTTATATTAGTTTTTTTTTACGTTTTATAAATGCTGTTTAAATTGTATCTAAGTATATACTATAGAAACAAAAACAAAGAATTTAGAATTTTAAAATACAACAAAAAAAAAAAGATAAAGATAGAGAAATATGGAAATACAAAAATCAAAACAATTATACAAATAAAAATTAGCAGAAATTATAAAAATAGCAAAAATAATAAAAATTATAAATTATAAAAATATAAAATACAAGACTAATAAAGAAAAAGAAAAGAAAGGCTACTCTCTGATACTGAAGAATATGTAATTATGTAGCATGAAATTAATATAAAACATTAAATATTTCCTTCTTAATTTTACTGTAGTTTTTCTGTACAAATATTTTAAGTTCATTTTTTAAAGATCGTTCATTTGTAATATTTTTTATGTATGTAGGAATTAGGTTATATATTTTGGGGCCAAAATACGAGATAAAGTTTTGGGTGTGCATTTTTTTAAAAAGAGGAATTGGCATATGCTTATTTAGTAGAGCTCTTGTGGAAGTAGTGTGTAAAAGCTTAGGAAGTTTTTCAGTATTAGAAATTGCCCATAAAGATGTTTGGTAAATATATAGTTGTTTAATATTGAAAATGTCTAATTCTTTATATAATAGGTTTGTTGGATATCTAAGGTCCTTTCTGAACAATATTTTTAACAACGTATTCTGTGTCGAGTCCAGCCCATCGAGAGCGTTGTCTAGAAGCCCACCCCATATTAGAATGCCATATCTTAGCAGCGACTCAGCCAAAGCATTATAAATAAGTAGTAAGAGTTCTTTTTTAAGAATATCTCGAATTTGATAAAATAAATATATAAGTTTTCTTAATCTCTTGTTTAAAAAAATGACATGTTCGTTCCATCTCAGATGTTGATCAACCATTAACCCCAAATATTTTATTTTATTTTCTTTTTGTATCGTTACACACTGACAAATCGGTCCTTTATTGCAGTTATGATTGTGAAGCTTTAAAATCTGTTGATTGGGTTGATCAGCATTTGTTAGTGAAAATGTAATAAATTTTGTTTTGGAGACATCGAGACTCAGAAGACTATTATCAAGCCACATCTTTATCTTACTCAAACCATCCTCAGCTTTTAGAAAGACTTCTTTCCAGCTCTCCCCCTTATAGATAATGACAGTATCATCTGCATAAGAAATAATTTTTCCTATATTTTTATTATTATAAATGTAGATCTATTTTTCATGAATCCATGTTGGTCACAAGATATAAGATGGGAAACATGATTGGAAATACGATCGTGAGTAGTTATTTCGAATAATTTAGCAAAATTGCAAAGAATGCTTATGGGCCGATAATTACAACATCATTTTTGCTACCTTTTTATGTACCGGAGTAATTCTGGAAATTTTCTTGGCAGTAGGGAAAATAAATGTTTCAACGGAGTGACCAAAATTAGTGGACAGTCTCTGACAGGAAACGAAGGAATAAGGTCAGTACCCATTGACATATTGGGCTTAAGCTTTTTTAGGGCTCTAATAATTTCATCTTGAGATACAGAATTAAAGTGAAGCAAAGGTAAATTAATGGTAGATTTGTTGATGAAGTAATTTATTTGAATTGGCTTGGAGAAATTGCTTGAAAAGTGATCTGCAAAAGCTTGAACAATTGCCTGTGGATCTTCTATACAGTCATTATTATATTCAACAGTAGTGGGTATGGAATAGAATTTAAGCATGACCAGAATTGTTTTGGATCATTTTTAATATTATTTTCAATTGATCTTAAATATCAGGAGTGAGATATAGAAATGTTTTGTTTAATTTGGCCTCGAAGGTTCTTAAATTTAGTAAATGCATTTATGGACTACTAAGTAAATTTGTAGGTTTTTTGGGCTTTTTCTTTTTGACGAATCATGCGTATTATATGACCATTAAACCAAGGAGGGTAGGTCCTAAGGTTAGGTTTTTACCAGGTATATATTTATTAAAAGTAATAGACAATTTATTGTTCAATAGTTGAACACTTTCATCAACGCTGCTTTCAGAATCAAGAAAATTCCAATTGATATTGAGTAGTACGTTGTATAATTTTGGAAAATCTGCTTTTTTGGAATTATACTGCACATGGTCTGATTTACATTGTAAGCTCTTAACTCTAATTTTAATGGGGACATCCATACACAAAGAGGGATGGTAATCATCTTCATCTAAGACTACTTCATCGGCTTTATATACATGACATGCTGAATTGGAAAAAACTAAGTCAAGCAGACGATGATAATTATGTATTTTCTATCAAATTAAATTGATTTAGGTTAAAAAAAATTCCCAAATGATTGTACGACATTTAATCTAGGCGAGCAGCTAGAATTATTTATTTGAGAAATATACTCTGGAACATTGAAATCTCCCAGTACTAGAAGATGATTATCATAAAGAATATTTAGTAATGATATCGCCTCGAACACAGTCTCATAGTCATCAGCAAACCAAGCTGGCAGTATGTATAAATATGAGTGAAATTATCTGATTTTTCTAATAAAAATAGTCCTGATACTAATTAAAATAGACTGAAAAATTGCAAAATAGTAGTATGCAAATAATAATGTTCTCGGCTTACACCAATGAGACAGGTTGGCTTTCGGTTAATGGATATGTTGCATTCTTAACTATGATTTTCATACATAAAATAAAGACTGGTCAATCACCCCAAAATCTTTAGGATAATTTGATCTACAATACTATTATTCATCAATATAATACTAGAGGCAGGCTAGATTCAACAATTTTTCAGAACATCAGCCCAAAATAATGTGTTTTTAAAGGATTGTGTGAGAATAATGACTTACCCAGTGAAATAAAAATACTTTTATTATCGATATGTTGTTGTGTATTTGTAATTAACTTTTAATTTTATATTTAACGTCCTTTTAAATGTTTTATTCATGTAACTGTTATAGAATTGCATAATTATATTTTAAAGTGTTTGCCTACAAGTTGCTGTAGCTTCGACAATAAACATTATACTGATCGAAGATACTGCTAATTTTCAGAATGAGTGTAACAATTTTTATTACCAGTACAATATATTATCATATTTAATTTAAAATTAAGTTAAATAGCTTACCTTTTCAGATCTTCTGTAACAAATTCCATATCATTTATATATTTATCAAGCGATTCTTCCCATATGCCAAGTTTTACACTTAACATCATTCCATTTGAAAATGCATACTTCTCTAAAGTAAGATCAGTGATTGGTGCCAAAACGATATCACCACCCTTATCTATAGAACTTTGTTTACTAAAAATATTATTTCTAATAAATTATTTTGTTCATAAAGTTAATGTTTTGAAGAAGAGCAGAAATTTGTATACTTGAAAACAGTGATAAAAAAAATGTGAGAAATGGGGAGACAATGAAAAATAATAAAAAGAAATGTGAGGAAAATAACAGGTAGAGTATTGTTCCACAAAGATCTGCAAACAACACAAAAAAAACTTAGTAATCAATTTAAATTATTTACTTTTCGGTAGGATAATATTTGTAGTTCATTACTTCACATTCACTCTGTACAAGTCTTTCTGAGTAGCTGTCCTCTTCAAATTGTCTTAAAAATTTTAAAATATTACTACTTTCGAGATCTGTAATATTCCACATCACGACACTACCTAAAGTTTAAAACAAAATTATATTTTTTATGTAATCTTAATATACTATAAACTTGTATTCTAATATTATGGTGAGAAATAAGTATGTATTAAGAACTTGTGAATGAAATACAGGGGGATAAAGACACCTAAAGTCTATTTCAATCCAAGACTCAGCGCATGTAAACAATGATCAGCGCGTGATTGCCTCGAGGTTTGCTGGAATCTGCAATGCTATTGGTCAAACGGCCATAAACTGCTAGAGCTGCTCTTTACTGTTTTGATGCGAAGTGCATCGTCGTTAAATGTGTTGTTTGAATTGAATCTTTTTAAATACCGTTACCTTGTAGTTTGAATATTGTGTTTTATTTAAATACTTTCGAAGTATATTAAATAACAGTTTGTTTGCTCCTCGGGCATATCCCGAAACTTTTTGTGTATTGTTTAAATAATTGTTTGGTATATTAAATAAAATATCCAGGACACTTGAACATGTCTAGCACGGACACAGCTGATGAGTCTACAGAAATGTATTTGTCTCCTCCTAGGCAAAGGTCGAAAAAGTCTCATTTCAACATAAAAAGCAAGGAAATGATTTTAAACGTTTATAAGCATGAGACTCAAGAAAATCCAACATTACTTAAAGATGAAATTGTAAACAAAGTGGCAAGTAAAACAGGAGTATGTGGTCGCAGCGTCTACAAAATTATCAAAGAATATACCATTAACCATACATTTTCGGGGCCAAAAACCAACCAAAATCGTAAAAAAATTGTAGATTTCGTGGATGACTTTGATAGAAATGCAATCAGAAGAATAGTGCATCAATATTTTTTTAAAAACGAACTCCCTACTATTGATAAGGTACTTAAAGACATCACGACGCTCTGGACCTGCCAAATTTTAAACGCACTACATTATTGTATAGATTATTGAAAACATTCAATTTCAAATATCAAAAACGAGGAAGAAATAGCTTGCTTATAGACAGGGATGAAATAGTGCTATGGAGAAGAGAGTATTTACAAAAAATAAAATCCTACAGGAATGAAAATAGAAAGATTTATTTTGTAAACGAGACGGGTGAATGCCGGACATACCAAATCAAAAATATGGGTTGATAATTCTGTCACTTTCTCAAGACGGGCATTTTTTGATGAACTTTCAACAGGATTAAAAAATCCATCAGGTAAATTATAGTCGTATTATATTATTTACTTTAGATATGTATATTTTACAATTTTGGTATCTATCCGGCTGATTGAATAATACTTTAAAAATAAATGAAAGTACATTGTATCGGGACATTTGAAACAGTTGATATTCAGGCTTTTCATTGCACAGCATTATTAAGATGGCCGACATCTTGAGCTGGTTTATTTGTCTGGGTATATACTACAGCATAAAAATGCTTTTTGATTTTAGGTAAAGGAAAAAGGCTGATAGTTTGCCACATTGGAAGTGATGACGGATTTGTTCCAGAGGCGCTGTGGGCTTTTGAATCCAAAAAAAAACGGAGATTACCACGAGGAAATGGACGGAAAATCTTTTGAAAAGTGGTTTGAAAATATTTTGCCGAAACTGAATGATAATTGTATTGTTGTATTAGACAATGCCCCGTATCATTCTAGGAAACTGGAAAAAATTCCAACTACTGCATCAAGGAAATCTGATATTCAAGACTGGCTGCGTTCTAAAAGTATACAATTTAATGAAGCATTACTTAAAGTGCAACTTTTAGCAATAGTTAAGGAGCACAGAAAAAAATATGATAAATATATCATCGATGAAATGGCTAAAGCTCAAAATAAAATTGTTTTAAGGCTACCACCATATCAATGCGAGCTTAATCCTATTGAGTTAATTTGGGCTGACATAAAAAATTTTGTTGGGGAGCATAATAGTACATTTAAATTTGCTGACATGAAAAACATATTTCATAATGCGATAGCTACCATCACGTCAGAAAAGTGGAAGAAATGCATTGATCACGTGCACGTGGAAATTAGACAATATTATAGAGCAACAAATTGAACGATTTGTAATAAATGTGAATGAGAGTGACACGTCTTCTGACGAACTAGAATGGCAACAGTAAATACAATAATCTTCACTCAATATAAATATTTGTTTTTTCTTTTTCACGTCGACGATTGAAAATGCTATTCCAACCTGTTCTAACTTTTTTTAAATATTTGTTTAAAATTAGAAAAATGTGTATGATGGCTTCATAAATACCGCTCTAAGTGTCACCTTGTATATTTTTAATATATTTTCTTCCAATTTTCGTTGGTATTAAGGTATTGAAAATTTATATCTCTAAAATTCTTAATTTAAATACATTAAAACTACATTGCAATAAAATGCCGTCCTCATTGCGGCCCTGGTCAAAAATTACATTCGCGTGCTTCTGTGTACATTTACTGAATCTCGGATTGGAATAGACTTTAAGCTCTACTCCTGATTTTTAGTCGGGGTTGTATGGCTGCCTTGTAATGCAAAGGTGTGATTACTACCTACTCTATCTATTTATTTATTTATTCACCGGCCTTGTCCACTTTCAGTACAAAGTTACAAATGAAAACAAAAATCTTAAAAAGAGTCCACCTAAATAATATGTCATAATAATGATAAACTAATACTTAAATATATTAACATGTACAAAATCGAAACAACTAATATTAAGACTAGAGGATTTAAGTCACAGTAAGTTTTAACACCGAAAACACTAAAAAAATTAATTATTAAAAGTAAAAATATGGAAATTAAATTTGGGTTTTCTGTTGATGGATTTGTATCTTTCGCTAAAACAGAAGAAGAAGAAGAAGCAGCCAACAAATTAAATAATTTTTTTGTAAATAGTATATATGTGAAATAACAAATTCAATACCTTCAACTGATGATTGGTCACCAAATTTTTTAAATGATATTCAATCAACATTAACTGATTTTAAATTAATTACATTAGATCAACTAAAAAAAAAGCTGTTTTTTCGTTAAAAAATAAGGGAAGCTATGATGAGATATTGAGTGTTAAGTTTTCAAAGGAAACCGTTTATACAATTGGCTTTGCAGTGTTAAATTTAATAAACACCTCACTAGAAACAGGAACACTTCCTGATAGACTAAAAGCAAGCAAGATAGTTCCAGTCCAAAAAATTGCAAACGATACAAATGCATCCAACTTGCGACCTATATAGTTGACAATTGAAAAATTATTAGAAACCGTAGATTGTGACCAAATATTAGAATACTTTAATAACAATGGTTTGTTTGTGGGAAATCAGTCAGGATTTAGAAAAGGCCATTCATGTGAAACATCTTTACAGTTAACTTTATCTAAATGGAAACCAGTACTTGATGAAAATAAATATATAATATATATATGACTGATAGATTATACAATATGTAAAGCTATGTAAATCAACATCTGAAATGCTAATAACTTAGGAGTACCGCAAGGAAGTATATTAGGGCCGCTTTTATTTATCATATATTTAAATGAAATTAATTATATTGAGTGTAACTTTATTATTCTATTTGCAGATGATACACTGGTAGCATGTTATAGGTGGAAATGAGGAAATTATAAATAAACTGAATAATATATTGAGAGTCTTAACCCAGTTTTTAAATAAAAATAAAACTTAATACTAAAAAAACGAAAGCAATGATTTTGGGAAGTAAATATAAATTAAATCAAATAAACTATAATAGATACATTAGAATTGAAAACGAGAATGTTGAATGGGTTAATGAATTTAAATACTTGGGATTTATTTTGGATGAAAATCTATTATTGAAACCTCACTGCGAATATGTATGCAAAAAAATATCAAAAAAGCTATTTTTCTTCTCATGGATTGCTTCAAATCTCTTTCTTTTTTTCTAGATCAACAGTGTATAAAACTATTATACAACCTCATTTTGACTACTGTGGATGGTTACTTTATAAATTGGATAATAGCTATTTACAAAGACTACAAAAATTGCAAAATAGGGGAATGAGAATAATCCTTCGATGTAACAGATACCTATACACCAATAAATGGCATGCTGACCACTTTAAGTTGGATTTCAGTCAGTCAAAGATTTTATTATTTAGCAATGACTTTTGTTTATAAAGCAAAAAATAAAAAAACTTCCTGAGTACTTCAATGATTTAATCATCTACTACAATACAAGATATGTTAATAATTTTTATATTCCACAAACAAGACTAGCTATAGCAACAAAATCTATTTTTATATTATGTGGATTACGTGAAATTAAAACGAGTACCTCTCTACCTCAGTTTAAAAAATGTTTAATACAATTTATTTCCAGTCCATAAATTAAATTAACTAAATTAACTTTGTATGTTTACTTTAATATGTATTTATTTTATTTTAACTTTAGTACTAAACTCTTACTTTTATTACTAATTCTATCAAGATTTTATTTAACTGAATTTGTGCAGACTGATGATATGTAATATATTTAAAAAAACTACTATGTATTAGGACTTTCTATATTAAATAAACATTCTATTACCGTTTTATCCCACTATGTGTGTCAGGTGTTTGTATAATTCGATAAAAAAACGAAAAATATAACAGAATACAATTTAAAAACATATTTCACAATATTTCATGATCTCACCATCTCTAAAGAAAAATATTTCTCTCTGCTCCTCATCCACTTTATATTTCGGGATAGCATGAATAACGTCTACATTGTTTTCCACGCGCTTTGCTTCATACAAATTTTGATTTTTTAGACCATCAAACAACTTTTCCAAATTGTATTCTTCAGCCGTCGCAAAAGCAAAGACATTATACTTTCCCGGCTCTTTTTCATCCTCTTCTAAAGCCTTTTTCTTCCTAATTACTCTCTTTTTAAGTTGAATTGACGAAATGGTATCATGAATATTCGATAATTTGGGTACGTTTTGGAAGGCAGAACTGGCGACACTAAAATTACATTTTCCATTAGAACTAGAAACAAGAGATTCGCTTTTGATGAACGGTAACTTATTTGAAAAATTACGAGTAATTTGAAATAACTGACATTGTTTATTAGATCTTAAAATACCAAATAAACAATAATTTATACTCTTTACTACGTTCATGTTGGAACGAACATTAACCGCACAAAAAATTAAAATAAAAAAAATTGAGGTTATATTTTTCTATCAAATTAAATCTATAACTAAGCTGAACTAGACCAAAAATATGCAGGATCTAGGTTGGTCTCAGATTGTAATCAAGATATAAGTTATTTATATCAATTATTTTTGAAAGGATGGCTCGCACAATGAACTGTATATTTAAGTATATAAAATATACATATAAATAACATACTAAATATACAGTTCACTGATGGTTATTGGTTACCTTTGGATCCGTCGTGAGTCTAGGGGGATGCTTTCAGGGATTAGAATAATGTCTAGATGACTTTTTCCAATAATTAATTTTAATGCATAGGCAGGATTATCCCTGATTATCCACTCAAACATTCGTTTTTTTAATTTGTCTGAGTACATTAGTTATTTTTTCTAATTTTGACTAGATTATTTATAAAAGTGTGTTTTGTTAAAAAAATTACTGATATCTAGGCAACCAATATTACTACTTTCTTGTATTGTTAGTTGCATATGATTAACTTCATTCTTTTATGCGCTAGTTCAGTAATGATGAAATTATGGTTCCACCAAAGTATATGGCTCATAGATATGGGAGGAGGGGAGATAGGAACTGTCATTTCAGAAAAACGTTTACACAAGGAGAACCTGCCGGGGAGGCGGAGAGTCTGCGCAGTTGAGTGTTTCCAGGATTGTACTCAGTTTTTTTATTAATTCAATAAAAATATACATATAATTAAACAAGATTGTGTATTAGTTGAGATAATTTAAGTATAGCTAGTAATGCTCACATATAGGTACGTAAAAATTGATTGAAATATTAAAAATTATTTATAAATTCATCTAACGAGTACTCTTCAATTAAAAGACCCTTCAGGTCGGGTACTATTTAAATTTTTGTATTAATTTTTTTCTTTTTGAGTGTTTATGTAACAAGTGATATACATACAGGGTGACACCGAAAACTTCCCAAATTAAATATCTTTCTTCCATAAAATAATGTGAAAAATCGCAAAAACCCGTCAATTTTATTTTCAAGGAGGACACCTACAATAAATACTTTTAACACTCGTGGCTCAACCTCCTAGGAGGGATAGTTGTTATCCTTAAATCTTAAATGGGAAAAGGGGTCAAGAGGCACATCATTTTAAAGGGCGTTTAATTCTCTTCCCAATGGTACGCTAATTTATTAGTTATTTATTAAACAAAAATTATTCTATCGAGTTAAATAACAGGAGGAATATCAAGTCTACACGTTTAACTTTTTATTTTTTTGGTAAGGTGACTTTTACAAAATAAATAACTTTTAATTTGCACAAGAAATTTTAAAAATAGAACACATAAGATCTACTTGTACACTATTTTAAACACTTTTCAAAATGTTGTCCATTGTACTGTAAACAGTAAAAAGTCTGTTTCCCAACTCCTCTCTAATATTTCGGAAAACTTTTACCGGAAATTGACCGGCATGCTTGTGTAATTCTCCTTTTAAGATCATCAATATCAGCAGGTTGTTTTTCATAAACAACGAATTTAAGGTGTCCCCAAAGAAACAATTCTAAAGGAGTTAAATCAGGTGCTCCCCTTCTGCTAATCCAAAGGGCCTGAAAATCTCTGTCAGACGAGAAGAAAAAATGAGGTGTAGCAGCGTCCTGCTGGAAATGTAACACATCTCCTGTAAAACTAAATTACCTTCTGCATCAGTTTGTTTCTAGCTCCTGAGTTTATAAGAGGATCAATAATCTCTGCAAGCATATTAAGGGACAGATCGCCTGGCAAGTTTCCTTCATTAAATAAAGAACCAATAATTGCGTATGCCCTTCTTGAATAATATACCTGGTGTTCATCGCTCCAGTATCAACATTTGTGTTTATTAACATTGTCATTTAGAAAAAAATTAAGATTCATCACTGAAACAGATATTCAGAGAAGATTGGGGTTGGCGTTGACTTGATCAGACATGGTTTTACAAAACTCTATTCTTTTATCAAAATCATCTTCGTAGAGCTCTTGAAGTAACTGCATTTTATAGAAATGAAATTTATACATTTTCAGTGCTCTTCTTACAGTCTCGCGTGATATTCCCATCTGTTCTGCTACTATTCGCGTGGAGCTAGTTGACACGGAAACAAATGTTCCCAAAACCTCAATTAGAGCTTCTTCATTTAGTACTCGTCGGTTCTTTTCCTATTTTTCACCGAACCAGTTTCCAAAAATTTTGCTACCAAATCGAGAGTATACATATGACTTACATTACAATTAGGATGCCTTTCATTTAAATGCTGCCGTTCGTGCGCATTTTCCAACCTCTTCATAAAGGATAATTATTTCGATTCTTTCCTGTAGAGAGTAAACCATTTTTGCTATAGAATTACAACCATTGTTATCTCCTGATCACAAATGAATACCAGATGCTTACCGTTTCCACTATCGAGTCGAATATTGTAGATGAGTGAAATATTTATTAAATTATATACCTATCAAAACTTAATCTTGGAAATAAAGGCAAATTTAAGTTTAGGCTGGGGACCAATGAAGAAAACAAAACTAGGTACTTATTTGAACTATTTCTTTTATTTGAAAATCTTGCAAGATGCTACAGAATACAAAAATATTTAACAAACATTGCAAGTATTTCAATAATAGTTTAGTATCAGGTGTAAAAGTTATTAAAAAATAAATGAGACACTTAATTCAAAGAAAATTACCTAACATTTGAAAATCCTTGAAAAAAAACATATATTGCAAGCAGTTATTTTAATAATAGTATTAGGGGTACAAATTATAAGAATTGAATAACATTTTGTTCAAATACAATCTTCAGGACATTAACAAATACAAAGAATATATAACATTTAATTCAAAGAAAACTACTTATTATTAAAATATCTTTAGGATACTAGACAGGTACGGACTTTTTAACACAGAAGGTATATCTTACAATGAGTTTAACAAAGTTTAATAGGAACATGCAGATAACAAAGGGAGACCACTGTCAGAAAGCATCGATATGGTTCCAACTTACGTTCTTTTCACTACATACATCGACACAAATTTAGATGCTACGAGTGACAGGAGTCTCTGCCTGATATTCGCAGGTTCCTAATTCAAATTGCTTTATTGTTGAAAAATACATCGTATTGACAAAGACAGAAAACAAATATATACATATTTTAAAAAATGTGTACATACTAATATAAATGTATATTGTACCCAGATACAAACAACCGATTGCAACAATATTCATTAAAATTTATAGGTACGACAAACTTTGACAGAGTTTGAGAATGTGATTTGTCTTAATGATATGAACATCAAATTACGTTCAGTCTAATAAAATTATACGATCATTAGATATTGAAAGATATATATAAGTGTTCTTCCAACTGGGTGTCAATTACAATATAGAATTACAAAATATATAAAAATATAATTATTTGTATGAATTGTATTAAATTTAAAACTGGCTGATTGGCTAAGGATCTATATATATTTTTTATTATAATTTATAGATACTGTAAAATAGAAGGTTAGATTTTTTATTTAAAATTGTACAATATTTATTGTATTATCTAAATTGGGCTTTTTTTCTTTATTTTGGACATATCGAGAGCCACAATGCAGGACCTCGTAACTAACATTGCCACTGAAAATTATATTTTATGATAATCTCGTTTAAAAGATTCCACTCCATCTACTGTATAAATGAAGTATGTATTAAAATTTTTGAACAAAATATGGTTAAATTTTAGTCCCATTATAGAGTAAAATGGATTGTTCTATGCACTTGTGAATCTTTTTTTTTTGATCTCTTGAAAAATTTTTATTTTGCGACTTACGAGGTCTAGCCTTGTTGCCTTCGATATGTTGTTTACAGTCGTCAAAAGTAATTGTAAAATATATAAAAATATTAAGGTATAAATAAGTAAATTACATACAACTTAATTATATTATTTTTGAAAGAACTCTCGATCATTGCCTGATTAGAAATACGTCTTGTATTAGAAAAGTATTACATTTTTTTAACTATTATGCTTTATAAATTTTTTTATTGAGCTAGAATATACATTAGTCTACTTATTATAAGGTATACTTTCCCTTTTAAAAATTCTATAGCAGTATATGAAATACAAAACATACACAACATATTACAAGTAGATATTTTGATAAGAGTATCAGGTGTACAAATTATAACAACTACATGCCATTTATTGACATTTAATTCTAAGAAAACTACCTATTTGAAAACATTAACGACACAGTAAAAATGTTCCAGCATTGATACTTATCATATTTCTCTTCTTTAACACAGGTAGAACTTGCTAAGGGAACGAGTGTAACATTGCATCATTTATACGTCTGCTGTCTTTTTTGATATCTGTACCACATTTAGTTTGTTTAGATATCTGCATTTCTGTCTTCTTTACTGTATTTCTGCAATTAAAAAAAATCACTATTTAACAGATATTTACATGGAAAGATTTAAGATTATTAAATTTGCATGCTTATAGCTGTGCTTGTTTATCATCATATAGGATGCATCTGATGAAATGTGAATTTTTATCACGTAACAGAAGATTAGGGTTAAATGTAGATGTAATAAAGAAACACTCTAGACCTACTAGCCATGTGGTAAAAATGACAATGACAAGTTTTATACTTTTTGTGTTTGACCTTTGAGTCATTATAATATGAATACAAAAGTAGTTGTCGTTGTAATTTTTCTTATGATTATTTACTTTAAAACTATTTTTTGAATTAAAATACCTACTCTCTAGTTACTGATGGTTAGCGATACCTATATTATAGAAAAAATCTAAATTTGAAAACTTAACAAAAATCAAACAAATGATCACTTTTATATTCATGAGCATATATGGCTAGCATAAACAAAGGATAAATCGATAAACCTGTAACTGAACCTGGCATGGAACGAATCCAACAACAAAAAATGTCAAGTTTGACAATCCTCAAAATATCATTTTAAATAAAGAAAATATAAACAAACGCAGATGTAGTAGATGTGAATAAACAAATAATAATGCTCCAGAGGTAAAAAATGTGCATATTCAAATGCAAGCATATGAAACGAATAGTACATGACATTCAATCAAGTCACTTAAACATAAGAATGAATTCTTTTGTTTCGTTTTCAATAATTTCTATTGGGAGATCATCTCCACTATCTAAATTGCTTAAAATTCTGTAAAACAGTGGTATAATATAGACTGCATAGGCATTATGTTTAAATGAAGTATAAATAAACCTACCTAGCCTCCTTTGCATGAACTTCTGTAGCATGTTCTCTTTTTGATTACTTGGCAAAAATTAAGTAGCAGTAGCATTCCTTCTAATCACAGTTTTATCACTGACTTAAATTCAAAATGCTTCGAACATATTTTAAAATTTTCTTTGTGTGATCTTCCAATACTTTTTATCTAACCTAAAACAGATAAAAATTAATAAATATAATTTATAACTACATGCTGGTTATGAAACACATTTAATCTGGTAACTTACACATTAATGAATGATTTTGGTTAGTTTTCAATAATTTCTTTTG